GATTAACCAATACGCCCGCTCAGGCTCCTGTGAACATCCTTGTCTTGCAGGAAGGGACACAGCTAATTCCATGTTCCTTCAACCCAAGGGGTTCTGTAAGCAGTGTCCAGGAAATTAACAGACTAGAAACGCACTCACTCTGAATCTCAAATCAAACAAGAAAGTATTTCTGCCATCATCTGCTACAGGCAAAGTACCACGTGAAGGCCGCCTGGAAATGCTGCTGTGTCCTCTTCTGTCTGTGCAGCTTGGCTGGCATCAGATCAACTCTATTTCTTCTTACAGATGAAATAAATCAAGACCACCACACAGAGACAAGGCCAAGTTTATGGTAGGCTTGGCAGGGGAGCCACACCCTGGAGGAGGAGCCAAGGGTTCTAGGATCACGAGCGATATGCCTGTCTCCATTTGTAATCACAAGGAGTTTAGCTGTTTTCAGGCTTCTTGCCTTCATCCTCCACCCCAGTGCTGCTTCTTCAGAGGTTTTAGAACATCCCCTTCTAAGCAAATCAGACAGCCCTCAAAAGCTGTACTGGTGCCTGCAAAACCCAAGCATCAGCTTTACAAGAGCTCGGCCACTTGCAGTCATTGGAAAAGTGGCTGTGTTTGCCCCAATCAACACCTTTCTATTGATGCATCTGTTTCCCCAACATGCACAAGAGACTGGCACTTGGCAGTGATGTGAACCAGTGAACAGGACGAGTCTCCTACTGGAAGGAAGCTGCAGGAACAACCAGGTGCCCATGAGTTCACCACTCTGAAGGCTGCTACTTAATCCCAAAGCTCGAATCCTCTTCTTGGGATACTTGCCTCTTGCCAATCTGTGCTGTCTGGCTGAGGGAACCAGAGGATTAAGCCACTGCCCAGGCCTTTGGAGTGCTGCCCACCCATATCCCAGGTGCCAACGTGCCGTCTACGCTTCCTGCCAGCCACCCCAACCTTCGGCCACAGCAGCCTTGGGAGCTGCAGCCCAGCATCCTGGGCTTTGGCATCTGCCACCTTTAACAGCCATGACCCCCTCTCACAAGGTGCCTAGCAGCACGCCATGGTAACCTGACCAACCTCCATGCCAGCCCTTCCAGGCCAGGAGCCACCATCACTGCCACCATGTTCTAAAAAGCTTCCCCGGTGACCAAACACCGCAGCCAGGACGGAGAGAGACAGGAACCAACAGCTCAGACTCCCTAGTGTACTAGACAGTTGACAAAATTGCACAATTTCAAAGCAGTTCCTGCCCAACCCCCTTCTCCAAGGCCAGTCAGCCTCTGCAGCTCACAGAGTAATCCTCGGAACGGCGTGTCCAGTGCTGTGCCATTTTTCATCCGGATCCTACCCCTTCAACCAGCACGAGCCTCAGTCTCCCTATCAAAAGGGCCCCTCTAATGCGTCTTTCCGTCTCCCCTGCCCCTTGTTTTCCAGCTTTCTGCATCTCCTCTGTCTCTCATGTAAACGCAAACCCTTTATACATTTGCCTTTCTACCCCTGGAAAAGCATTTTATCTGCTGCCTTGAAATGAGATTTGAGCAGTGCTGCCCTCTGAGTAAAGAAAACCGCACAAACCATAAACTGGAACCCACCCAAGCTGTGTGATGTGGATGGCGATGTGTTCCACCCCAAGCAAAACACTCCATTCGCGGGACTGCAGCTAACGATCTGTCTGGGGAAGCTCGCGGTGAATCATGAGCCCCAGCCCACGAACACCAAGTCGGGCAGCAGCTCTCCCTGCTGCATAGCAACAGCCCTACCACAGCACCTACCGGCTTCTCCTTCCTCCCTCTGAGCTTGGGCTAATATCTACTTATCAAGCAGAAAACTCATCGTGGAACTATTTTCAGAGCGAGTACAAAGACAACCACAAGGATATACTAGCTGCATTACTTTTACCCAATGAAATAAATAAATCTTTACCCTACAATAAACTCAGCACGTAGGAGGGCAAGCAGCCCCAAATGGGCGTACTTGGATGAAAATCAGTGTGAAAATAGATAAATGGCCAGAGAGAATAACCGAAGTCAGAATAAAGCAAATCTACCTGAGACCCCATCTACCAGAAAATTTGTTTTAATGTGTTGTTTCAGAAAATCTCAACATCTAGCAAGCCCAGATCTCACGTGGACACCCGAAGACACCCGCACCCACTACGTCCCAGCCGAAAGCTGGCCCTGCCCTCCTGTCCTTTTATTTCTGTTTCCACCCAGTCATCCTCATCAAAAACCCTACAGTTATCCAGGATCCTGTGTCCACCTCCACATCTCCTGTTCCTTCCAAATGTCTAAATCCCAGAAACACCACCGCGTTCACCTCCTCACGTCGGTTCCTCTATCCCAACCCTGCAGCCCTCGCTTTAATGTGCTGCATCTTTATGTCTCTGCTTGATTCTTCCAGTGACCTCCTATTCTCCCTCCACATGCTGACCTCTGTCTCCTCTAACGTAATCTTCTAAATTCTGCCACAATGATCTTTATGAAAAGCCCCCATCACAACTTTCCTTTCATGAAAAGCCTTGCGTGGTTCCTCAATGTCCACTGGGTGAAGTTCAAATTCCAGAGAATGTAAGAATCTCTACAATCCTACCCCTTTCCAACCTTAGGTCTCCTGGGCTTCACTGAGAACCCATCTCCTCATGAGATGAGCCACTCAGAGTCCCCGAGCACTGGCCTGACCCTCATCTCCTAACCTGTGTTGGGGCTGCTCCTTCTCATTAGAAACGCCCCTTTGCCCTTCGGCCCCAGCAAAACATACTTCTTATCTCTGGATATTCCTCCTCAGTGCAACCTGCCTCAACCCCACCCTGAAGAAAGAACCGGGCACCTCAATCCTTGGGCCCTGGTCATGTTTCCATCTGCAAATTTTTCGGCACTAATTCATAACAAAACTGTCAGATCACAGAAGGCAAAGGATTGTGTCTTAACAAACTCAGCATCTAATAGCGCTGCCTGACACACACAGAGGATGTGATAAATATTTGTTACACAGATAAGCTTCTCAATTCTAAGGCTCCAAACTATTTTCTTTCCAGCTCACACACTTGTCCTTCAGCTGCTTATGATGTGGAACTGCCACTTTGTAAATCACTTGTTGAGGGCTGAAAAATAAATCAGTAAAGAAGGTAAATCTTGTCCTATGCCCTGAGTAATCGCTTCCTTTTTCTCTACTCCTGAAAGAGGAGTCTGCTCCAACATACCCCAATAACTGACAGTGAGAAATCAGCCACCCTCGTGGCTCCAGACCCCTCCCCCTCCCCGTTTTAAATGGCTTTCCCAAGGATGTGATTGTGTGAATGAAGCACAGGGAGGAGACACGAATTAAAGCAGAACATCCATGGCATAAACCAAGACCAGCTTCTGAGCCCACATGTCCCTGCCGTGCGGATGGGAACAGGCTGAGCACAGAATTTGACCACCGCCTGTCACTTCTGAGCCCATCAGGAAGTCACATGAAACAAAGGCACCACCCTGAGCGCAGCAGCAGACAGCTGTGTCTGAAGTCAACATCTGGAAGGCTCTGGCCCACTCAGAATTCCATCTGCGATGTCAAATATCTGTAAAGTGTCTGCAACGTCATGTCCCCAGCGAGTCACCTCTTCTCCCAGCACCGATTTCATATTGGAAAATGGGCGACTTAAATAAATCTTTCATTAACATAGTGTTTTCCTGCCTCATGCTAATGTTCTTAATTTGTTTTCCCAGACTCTCATCCACAGAATCATTTCCTGCAATCCTTAAGACAATCTGAAACTCTTTGGGTCCCTAATAGACAATCCAGAGAACCTAGAAAACAACCAAACAAATAAGCTAAGAGCCTCACACACAGACCTACCGAGTCCCGTTTGTTCTGGAACACACGTGGCAAGCACTGTGGGTTCTTCTTCACGGCACACAAAGGCCAGAACAGGACAGACCGTCCCGACCACCTCACGGGTGCTGAGTTTGGACAGGCGGCAAAGCAGCCTTGCATGGGACACTGCTGGCCCCAGCGAGGTGAGAGATGCGTAAGCAGAGGAATGTGGTGCCTGTGACCTTTTACTGGGAGGCTCTAGAAGGCTCGTTGCCATTCAGCTTTGCTTATCTGTAATGGGATTCTTGCTATGTGCTGATTCCAAACCCCAAAAATTTCAAGGATATTTTGAACATCTTTTATTAATAGCAACTCAAAATTTTCCACAGCACACTGTTCAGATTCATGCCAAACATGCAAAAGCAGGTACTATATAAGGATTCATTCCCCCAAATTTTGTGAGCTATGGAGGAATGTCTTCATCCGGAGGTGGTGTAGGGGAGAGGGCCAGACAACACTAAAAGATCCCCTTGAGTACATCCAGCCATGTGAGGGCAGTCTGTGTTGGTCACTAAACCAGAGAAGATAAGTTCTATCGTATGTGAGGAATAAACATAACAATCCTCAATGAAGAGATGAAGCATCTTAACAGCAAGCTCCACAGAAACGTCTGGGAGCCGAGGGCCACGCCTGTGTTGAAGAGAAGGGGAAAACGTCACCGAGTGCGGAAACAACCCCAGACGCTGGGGCATCCCAGGCCGCGTCACACACAGGCACCCCATAATGAGGCTTCAGACAGCAACAACAACAATACTGGGGGGGGCAGCTCCCCACGCTGCGCAGCGGGCCGTGGGAAGCACATCACGAACACCTGGCGAGCACCCCCCAAGAGGGGGATGGCGTGGGCTCCGTTCCAGGGGAGACTCAGGCTCGGGGACGCCCCTCAGGCATCAACTGTAGCGAACGGCAGGGCCCAAGCTCAAAGCCAAGTCTGCCTGACAGTGGTGCTCATCGGAAATAACTCACCGAGCCTGCACGGACGCTGAGAGAGAAGCCGGGTCCCTGCCACCGCCCGGACAGCACAGTACGGAAGAGCATTCAGCACCGTCAGGCCAACGGGGGCCCCTCTGACCTCCGGGCAGCTACCCCAGGCAGCAAGCACCTGGCCCTCCTTCCACAGGACCCGCCGCGGGCAAGAGGAGGCCCGGCCCCTCCACACTTACTTTCTCAGAACGGCGATCTCGTTCTCTATGCTGCTCTCTTTGCCTTTCAGCGCCTTCTTGGGGATGCACTTGACTGCAAAGAGCTTCCCGGTTGCCTTCTCCTCAGCTAAAACCACCTCAGAAAAGGCCCCACTGTGAACAAAGGGGAGAAAAGAAGACTTAAGGTTAGGAGTTCTGACTTCACAGGCCCCAGTGATCCCACTGCCGAAGGCTGGAGACACCAGGAATGCATGTAATCACAGCATCTCCATCCAGCATGCTTCCTTACCAAGCATCTTTCTGCAAAGCAAACACACAGGCAAGTGTGCACTCGTGGAAATGGTGTCCCATGGTTTGGTGCAAAGGGACCACAGAGGTGGACGTGGGCTGCCACCTCACAAGTCTGCTTGACACTCTGCCACACAATACGTGGTGCCCCTTCAGAACAAGCGGGACACTGCCCTTTCTCCATTGCCAACTGTCAGCCCTCTCCCGGCCATGCAGGCTGGAAAGTCACACTCAAATCCCCAGGTCCCCACAGGTCCTTTCGTGCAGCTGTTATTCCATACCCCTTCAGAAATGCTAAATTACTTTTCATGACAGGTAAGGCTATAATTACAGTGTGAGCTGGGGCAGCAGTGGTAGTGACACGGGTTAATTAATCACCAAGGGTAGGCAAGTTTTCATTAAGCAGTTTATTTTGTTTTCAAACCAAACACACACACACACACACACACACACACACACACACACACACAGACCACACAGTGGGGAAGATTTGCCTGCCTGAAAATATAAATTTAGTTCTGCAACAGCAGAGCAACACCCTCAAAACCAGGCTGTTTGGAACCAGAGCAGCAGAGCCCCCAAGTCTGTGATTCAGGGACAGAACTTTCCATCTTCTCCAGGCCCAGCACCTGCGCTAGGAGCATCCAGGCCAGGAGCAACTCTGACTTGCCCAGAGAGAACCAAAGGCAGCTCCTCTGACAGCTATGACTGGAGACCAACTCCCGTAACCAAAGAAGCCATGGAAGCTCCCACATCTCCCCAGGACCCAGCTTCAGGGTCCTCGCAATTTAGTCACAAGCAAAGAAATCCGTGAGCAAGGAAAACGTATTCTGCTCTCATTTTCCTCCCCATCTCACAGGGCCAGAAGAAGACAAATGTATATATGATTTTTAAATCTTTTCTAGAGACATCCACATCCAGCCAGTGCAGCTGACCGAGTCTGCAGGACACCGGGCCTACGGAATATGAACTCTCGAGAGGGACTCCACCTATCACCACGTCATCACACAGACATGAGGGACAGAAGACAGGCACTCCAGAGAACAGACCAGTGGAGATTTTCAGAACAAGGATCTCCACCCAGTCTATCTGTGAGCAGCAAGCAGAATTCTCTCCTCAGAGCCTGGATGTCCAACCTTCGAACCAGTCAGAACAATAATCATTAACTGCAAATATAAAAAAACCCTACATAGATTTATCACAGAAAGATGCACAGAATCAGACAGTCACAGTAACACTGGGCACTGCCGGTGGCTTTGGACCAAAATAACCAGGTCAAAGCACCAGACTCAGGCCTCATCTCCCACCTCGAACCCGGGACAGATGAAGAGGGGCTCATCTGACAGATGGTGACTCAAACACTCAACCTGGTACTGCTCCCTCCTGCGCTCCCCAGAGGGGAACAAGGGCTGTGTCAGAGCATAAAGAAAAACCCACTGGAAAGGACTAGTGTGGTTAGATGCCGGATATTCCACTCTTCACTTTCAGCCCCGCTTGAGTCCCTGGTGCTGATGGCCAGACTGTCAGAGAAGCTAAGTCCACTGTCCAGGAGACAGAGAAGCCCTCAGCAGCAGCAGCACCTGCCAGGGTTTGGGACAAGAGTTGCTGTCAGGCTCTCCTTGGTGGCTACCCTGCCCAGTACTGCACACACCTGCGCTTTCCTCTAGGGAACCTGCAGACAGCCAAGGCCATGGCACAGGAAACATCCTGCCTTTCTTAAAGGCAACCCTCAGCTGAAAACATCAGGCACCTACAGGGCAAGAGTTTCCTCGGTCTTTGGATCAGTCTCACCCTGGAAAACAGGGTGAAGTGAGGGCATGCACAAATCAGTCATTAAAGGTGATGCCCTGGGAAGGGGCTGGGAAGTCTCCAGAGCTGCAGTGCCGGGCCGCTAGAAGGAGCTGAAACAAGGGAGACAGACGGTGGTGTCCCTGCACCGGGACTCTCTCTACCATTGCCCTGCAGGATAGATGGACGCTCTGTAGGCCTGAGCCAGAGCAGAACACAGGTAAAGGGACTCGGGAGCTCAGCAGCCTCTCATTTGACAGACATGAGCCAGCCAAGGGGGCTGCTGGGAAAGGGTTTGGGGCCCCTGAGGGACAAGGCATCCCCAGAAATAGCCACTGGGTCAAATCACAAAGCCAAAGATGCAGACCCATTCCCTTAGAATGGAAGTCAGCCTGCATCTCCACTCCCAGGCAGAGCCCAGAAGAAGTAAAAGCAGGAGCTTGAGTAGAGATGTGCACTCCTGTGTTGTGGCAACATCAGCCACAACAGCCAGAGGGGGAAGCAACACAAGTATCCACAGCCAGACAGATACCTGACAGATGGACAGAGTGAGGTCCACATACACAGGAGTAGCACTCTCAAAAGGAAGGAGTTCTGACAAAGGCTACGGCATGGAGGAGCCTGGAGAGCTAAGCCAGTCACAGAAAGCCAAATGACAAAAATGCCACTGATGAGAGGTCCCTGGAGTGGTCAAATCCAGAGAGACAGAAAGACAATGGTGGCTGCCAGGGACTGGCGGGAGGGCAATAAGGAGCTGCTATTTACTGGGGACAGAAATCTGTTTGGTAAGATGAAAAGGTTCTGGAGATGGATGGTGCTCATGGTCGCACAGCAATGTAAATAGACTCAAGAATGACTGTACATTTAAGAACTGTACACTTAAGAATGATTATAATGGTAAAGTTTATGGTACGTCTATGTCTCCACAATAAAATGAATAAATAAAAATAGAAAGTCTGCCACCTTTTATTTGATGGCACTGCTTGAGAAGGGAGATGCAATAACTTGGCAGACCTTTTCACTCATCCCCTCTCTGGAGGAAAGAGAAATTATAGGACAAACCATGGGGTGACATGTGGCATATACCACTTGATACTGTGAAGTGCTCTGTTGTATATCAACTGCCTGACCCTTACTGCAAGCCCTGCAAGTACAGAACCCAGAAAGTTACCGTTACCCACACTTTAGACTTAGGATGCACAGCTCAGCTGCAGAAACAGTACAGGGCAGAAAGCAAAACTGTTTCCTAGTAGAGTACTCTGGAAGGATGCTGGCTGCTCCCAAGGAGTGGGGCTCATAAGATTACAGGTGAAAGAGTGGATGGGTTACACCTGTCCCACTGGTGAGCCACTATCACTCTCGAGTGTGCAAATGCACTCACTTTATCAGCTAGCCAAACAATGGGCATTTCTCTCCTTTAAGACAGAGTATGGGGACATGGAATTAGCACAGACTGTGATTATTCTTACAGTAAATTGAAATCAGTTGAAGACACTTCCCTTGTTCAAAAAACCTAATTAAAAACATCAAAATCCAAACCATGAATGAATGATTTGGGTACTTTCAATGTAGCACATTAATTGTGCACATAGCACAGTGATTGTGTGTGAGAAAGAAAGTGGGTGAGGGGGTGAGAAAAGAATCAAGGAGGAGGCAAGTGGGGAGGGCACAGGGGCAGGAGGACTGCAGCAAGGAAAATGATCCAATAGCTTATTTATTAGCTTCAGAAACACAAGAAAATAAAGTCCAAAGAACAAAAGGTAGGGACAAAGAGTGACAACATTTTAAACATACAAAGAAGTCAAAGCAAGTTGCCAGGCTGTAAAACCCAAGTGCGGTACATAGAAAACCGAACGGCAGAGCACTGCACCAGTCCGTGTGTCCCGCTGGTACCTGGAGACCTCCAGCCCACTCAGGAACTGCCAGCTGTACCCTGCTCCACTCTGCAATCTCACTTTGCCCCTCACCTCCATGGTCTGGAATCAGGCAGGTGGCCCTGGGGGCCTACCAGTGCCTAAGACCAGTGGCAGTGTCTCACTGCTGGACTTGCTCGTCTTCGTGACACTTGATCACTTCTACCGCTCCCTAAAACTCTCTTCTTGATTCTGTGATGTGGCTGATTCCTTCCACTCACTTCCCCACCTGTTCCCCTTCCTCCCTTCAAATATCAGTGACATCCAAGGGGTCACCCAACAGCCCTTCTTCCTGTCTGCTGTGAAAGACCTCGTTGTTTTCTCTGGTTTCATCTCCTACTTCCCCAGGTCAGCCCTTTCACTGCATCTTTCTCAGGTCTAATCTCATCTCCCCACATCTTCCAGGGCTTGGAGTCTAGGCCAGCCAACCGTGAGCTGCCTCTTGGGGGCACCAACATGGAACAGTGTCTTCCTCCAGGATCTTCCAGCTCCTGTATTCTCTTCTCATGTCCACCAACCCAGTAACCCATATAGAAACCTGTCCACCTCACTCCTGCCTCTCATCAAATATAACTCTTTCATCTGCATCAGCAAATATAACCAGGTCTTCTGCTGAGAAGAATCCCAAATGTGTCCTCATTACTCTGCGTCCAAACTATCTGCCTGCTTCCCTTCTGGTCCCTCTGTCCCCAGCAAGCCTATCTCCTCCCTCATATAGCCTAGCTGTTCCCCGAATTGCCTTCCCACAACAAGGATCTGCGTATGCCCTCCCTTACTGAAATCTCTGAGGATCCATGTCTAAGGTCCAATCCAGACCTGCTCCCAACTCGGCCCCTCCTGACACCAGTGTCCTGAACTCTACACCTCACCTCTGCCTTTCCCACAGCACTCAGAGCAGCCTGCCAAGCACGTCCACATCCTTCCACACCACTGGCCTTTCTTCAACTTCTGCCACCTGCCCTCTCCTTGAATGTAATTTCTTTTATTGCTTAGCCAAATTCCATTCAGTTTTTTAAGGGCCCAGATGCTATGCTTCCTTTTCTTTTCAGGTTTGCTTGATTGCCCCTCACCTGGACAGATGACAACCCAGGTACCGCTGTGGTCCCGTGTGGGCAGCCAGAGCTGCACCCTTCTTTTCTATGTCTCAGACCTAACAGTAGTTGG